TACCTGAACAAGCAGAGTATTTTCGGCTACAAAATTCTGTCTTCTTGTGAACCTAAAGATTAGGAATCTGGTGAAGACCTCAGGTGTGATGCTTCCACAAAACAGTGTCTTTTACACCCACCTCCACAGAAAGCTTCCAAAGTAATAGATGTAAGAAGCAATCCCACCTTTTTGACACTGATGGCAACAGCTTCTTTTTGACTGTAATCATCCACAGTAAGGTCACTTCCAAATTTGTACTCTGGATGAGCTTCTTCTTCCTGGTCAGCTGCACAGAAAAGAAAAAGGATCAGTGCAAAAAACACAGCAACTGCTGGCTTTGTGTGAGCCATGAAACAAATGGCAGGGTTTTTTTTAAAAACAGAAATAAAATCCCGGGTATTAGATTTCCAAGCATTAGTAGCAAATTACAGCTAAGGCCTGAGATTCTTACAGCTCTGACATGGTTAGTAAGAGAAATTTTATTTACTTTTTTATTTTATTTTTGAAGGAATCAGTAATTTGCTTAGCAAAAGTCTAAAAAAAACCCAATAGGCTTGGGGAAATAACAAGAAATGAAGACAGAGTTCTCTAAATAAAGACGTAAAAAGTTGCTGGTGTCCAGGCTTCTCACGTGCATTGTTAGAGTCTCCTTATGTGCCCCTACTATAGGGAATCATTTTCATTTGCTTTTAAAGTGATTTTACCGTTAGAACCCAGTGTACTCAAAGAAGCTAAAAAGGCCTCTTACAAACACATAACCATTAATCACATTATTCATATGGAATTAAACAATAATTTTAGAAAATACTTATTTGAGCCTCTTGGTAGTCTAGCACATAATTAATAACACAGCACAGTAAGAACGCTATTAGAAATAAGATTCTAACGGAAATCAGCCTGCAAAACAACAGAATCTCCTCTGTGCTCCTTGATCACCTGAAGAAAGATACTGAGAGGCCTCTCCAAAAAATTGTTGTACTTCAGTCTTTTTTAGCATTGCAAGGACAGATACCAAGATTTGGATCACAAAGAATATCTTTCACGAGGACCTCTACTGACTGCAACAGCAGTGGCTTTGTGCTAGTAAAAAAGAAAAAAAAAAGAAAAAAAAATCAAGGAGAGGACCAAGGGGTAGGCTAAAGCTGGGATGTTCCGTATGACATAGGTCACAGGCCAGTACCTTGGTTCAGACACTTGCAGGCAATGCATGATTTACCTCTTCTGAAGGTGGACATTTAAAACAGACAAGGTGAATCACACCCTAGAGATGTCTATTTTTCTCGGTTGGCCATAAACACATTCCACATCACTGGCTCAGATCTAGATGTTTACACTGAAGGTATCTGAAGTTTGGCAAGAAAAATCCTATCCCTCATTTTAGCCTTATAAAGTATAATGCAATAATCCAATCTGATGTTGACACAAGTATTAAAAATAGGGACAAAAATCTGTTTTCAAAGCAAAGATCACAGCTTCCCAGTCTCTCATACACACACACATGTACACACAGTGAAAATCTGACTTGGTTGCTGCTCCAATATGGCTTCTGAACAGTAAGTAGAAGTTAGAATTACCACTAGCACCACCACCTGAGCTCACGTTCCTACCACAGCCTGCCACAGAGCCAGTAGCAGCTGTGGTATGTATCTGAGATGAGATGGTAAGGCTGGAGGTCTGTATAAGTGGTCCTGCACTGAGCTCAGACTTAATGCTGCTGCCACAGACTGCGGGCATGTGGATCATGTGCGTACTAGCTGCTCATGCCGGCCTACTGATTTACCACAGGCAATGTATGAGAGCCCTTCGCTATGAAATCCTCACCACTTTCTATTTCTTCTTCATTATCATCTTCTAGGATATTTACAGGAGCAGCAGTTTCCCCAGCCTCCATCATCTTTTTCAGAGCATCAAGCTGTTCTGTTAATAAGAAAAATAAAAACAAATTAGTCATGACATGAACACTTTGTAGAAATACATGAGAACAATCATAAATGATTCTCTGATCCCAAGAGCTACTTTTATTTAATGAGTTCTCTAAGTTTTCAGTTAGCAATAAAATCTTACAGCGTAAGAGCATCATTAGACATACACTGTTGTTAGATCTGAAAAGTGGTCAGTAAGGGCTCACTGGAGTTAAGAAAAATATTTCCATAGACTTCAAAGGTCTTTGGAGCAAGCATATTACTTCTTCAAAGAATAAACAGACAGCTCTCTCTTTGGTGCTTGATCTATGCAAATGGAAGCAAAGTGCTTGGATTTTCAGTTGTGTTCCCATGTGCATTTCAGTTAGCCAGTATGAACACAGTCATGTATGACTGAAGTCAGTGGAAGGTCTGCATGCTTAGCTTTGAATGGAGAAGGACCAAGGTTTATCACTACAGCCATACTGGAAACTAATATAGCAAGACTATTATTACTGAAAGAAAAGAAATATCAGAACTGGCAACAATAGCAAGAAGAACAATTTGAAATTCCATTTCATTTTATGCTTATCCTGGAAAAACACAGCAATGCAAACATACCAGTGTAGGCAGAATTTACAAGAGATTCTATCTGTGTTATATTTTAGCTCAACCAGCAATCTGATAGAAGTCCCAGGATTACATTTCTAAGTCTATCTATGCCTATGCTACATGCTGATATCAAGGCTTAGACTCTGGCACTCATATGAAACACAAGGGCAAATAAAGTGGCATTTCCATATAATTCATATTCTTCCAACACTAAAGTACAAGCAATTTGGAAACTTTAGTAACAAAGTCTATTTGTATCTATCTGGACTTTTGTTTAATTTAATACTTGACAAGCTTTACTTACTTTTTTCTACTTCAGGTTTCAGCCTTTTATTCTTTATGAGAATCTTTCTTTTGAGGTCATTAGGAGAAGGTAAGGCTTTACCTGGATCAAGCTGTAAAATAATTTAAAGAAAAGGCTTAGTAACAGTATTTGTCCTCTTTGTATCCCTATTTGGGATTTTGACTTTAGGACAGCAATGGTAAGGGGCAGTGAACAAGCAGTGCCACCTCAGGCACAACCGTGAGAGGCAGTGTAACTGCAGTTATATTGTCTCCTCTGCTTCTTCCCTATCCCATGGGAAAGCTGTGCTCAGGGTAAATGTTGCTGGCTGAAGCCATTGGTCTCCAGCCTATGCCATCCTCAGCTGCACTGGTCAAAACATCTCCCCCTCTCTCCTGCCTAGCAGTGGGCATGGATGTGACCTGCAACTCTTCATCAGAGGACCTCCTACTTTCCCTCTCTCCCTGTGGTTCACACGCAGTCCAAGTCACAGTTTAGCCCATTATCATTTGATCTCTAAATAAGTCACCTTTTATGGTCCCTTCAAGCTGTAATAACGCGAGTGAAGCAGCCCACACATACTTACAGAGCAGAAATGGGCTGGCACTGGTGAATGGAAAACTACCCAGTCCTTAGCTAGATAATGAGCGCTATTTTTGCCAGTAGGGCTACAGGGTCACATCTTCAGTATTTGTGAAAGGCAAATGGCAAGTTTCACATACACAAGAGAGTACTACTAAAAGGTTTGTTCCAGCTTTGGGAAGGAGAAAAAATATTATTGAGAAGAGAAAAAGTACAAAATCCTCTGATTTAAGTCCCATCACATCATTGAGGCTAAGAAACAGAGATTTGGGTACAGTAATTAGCACCCTCTCCACCTCAGGCTTGCTAAGAATATTATGCAGGGAGTTGCTGGTATAATGGACTGTGTTTTCCAGTGAACCATAAGTGATACAGGAGTAGAGGATATTTCCAGGATTAGTAAAAATTCTTAGAAGAAATATTCAGATATTCTTATCCTTAAATCCAACTCTGAGCTACGCAGAAGCAGCATGCTAGATGAAGAAACAAAAGAACAAAGCACCACGACTTGAAACCAAATAAAAGCAGCAGAGGTGACAAATAACAACCCAGCAAAAAAACCCCAAATCAACCCAACCCAACCTCACAAGAATGGGTGCAAACCTCCTTGCAGGAGGGTAATGATTATCCACAACCACCAGGCTAGCTCAGTCATGGGAGTTTCAGCATGTTTGATGAAGATAAAACACAATTGTCCTTTGGGTTGTAATTCCACTAGATGTCAGTGCCGCAGAGCTCATTTATCCCCAGGCTTCCAGGATGCCAGTCTGCATCCCAAAGCACAGGGCATAGCTGGATGCCCATTTGGACAAATATTTGCTTTTACTTAAAACCAAATCTGCTTCAGCCAGTGCCATGTCTCACTTAAGTCTGCCCTCTTCAGTCAGTCAAGGTATCAGAAACCACACACTCATAAAATACATGTTTCCAGCTCCTCCTGCCATCTCTGCAACATTTGCTTTGTGAGCAGCTGGGGACTGAATTCACCCATAAGGAGGAATGGACACAAAATGCAGAAGTCTCAGTAGTGCTACAGAGCACAGGCAGCTGAGGCTTAATACTGTGCCCTGAGGTAGCAGCATGGCAGCCTTTGGCCAGCTCTATTTTAGGCTTCCCTGAAAGCTGCTGGAAGCTGTCATTTGTGAGGAATGTGGCAAGATGCTACACACATCACAGGGGAACACTTCAGATTTAGTTCTCTGGGATGCACTTTTCAGGGCATATTCACCGAGCCTTGTGCGTTGCTGTCCCTGCAACATGCAAGGAAAGCCAAGAAAAGCACAGCTCTAGAGATGACAACGCCAGGAGGCCCCTTTGCAGGGGTCACATGGACAGGAGCTGAAAGGTAAGGCAGAGTCCTCTTCGCCATGGTCCCCTGCAGCACTAAAGAGCATTGGGCAGCTGCTGGCAGACAGTGAGCACGTTGCTCAGGAGAGTAAGGAAGGTCTGGAGGAGTAGCTGCAAGCACTGGGTAACAAGCTATTAAAGTCTCAAATATTGTATTTGTGAAGGAGTGGCTGTTATTATCTCCTGCCATGCAGGAGGGTGAAGTGCATGCAGATTACAGTGCAATTGATAGTCCAAATGAGACTGCAGGGGACTCTTGGTGCTTAATTTAATTCTTAATGCAGTAGTAGGGGCCACCTAGACTGCAGGACCTGATCTGGAGCATGAAGCATGCAAAGTGCAGCTGAAAGAAGAGACCATGCAATTTATAATAACTAGCTTTCAACAGTGACTGGCAATTTCAGAGTTATGTATGACCTGCAAATACAATGTATGTGGTGTATTTTATGTAGGTGCTGATATTACGTCACACATCAAGGGGATGGATTTCCCCAGGCTGCTCGCCAGAGCCCTGTACAGAAGAGATTAAACAAATCAGATAAGGACAAGGTTGTACCAAAAAGCGTAGTCACCCAAAATCACTAGTCATTTTTGAAAGCACAGGAATGGCAGTGAACAGCACTATAGGTGATATGATCCCACTTTATCACCTCTTTTAAATACAGCTAATAAAAAAAAAAAAAGATTGGCAGAATATAACATACTGGATGTGTTTCTAGAGGCTGCTTCAACAGGAGATCTCCAAAAAGATCTTCACAGTATTTTGACATCTTATACTGTTGATATTTGCTGGAAAAGATGATGTTGGTTAATTTTTAAATATAAAAAAGAAATCACTCAGCAAAACAGAATAATATTAAGTAATGTAGATATCCCAAATTATATACTGCCCACTTTCTCTCAACTGAGAAGTATTACTTTACTGTAATTAAACTGCCAATAAAAGTCTATTATCTGACATAGATGAATTTAGTAAGACCAAAAAAGTAGATTAACTGAATCCCACAAAACTAATGGAACATCCAAATATACTTCACAGCTTTACCACAGATAAAAATATTGCCATTATTTAGCTAGATAAAGATTGACTAGTATATTACAGTCTCTTCCAAGTGATATTCAGTATACCTGCATATCCCTACACAGTTTACAAATACACTCAAATTACAGTATGTTTGAGCTATATCATCCCCCTCTCATACATCGCACTAAAAAAAAAAAAGGGCACTAGATACCTGCAGTGATTTTCAAATGAAAGAATGACAGGATACTCTGATGTAACAAATGCTGTTTCCTTAATGGCTTGAATTACATCCTTTAAAATTCAATAATAGGATTCAAATTAGAACAGATCAAATTACAATCATAATGAAATAGATTTTTTTTGTTCTCCACCCTGAGAAACAGAGAGCTGAGTCTCAAATGAAGTGAGCCAAGTGAAGCCAGAACTAGAACAAACAGTATGCTCATTCTTCCCTGTTTCCCCGCAACAACCCAGACTCAGCGCCCAACAGGTGCCTCACAGCACCTGCAGCAGTGATGGCAGCTTCACCCAGAACCCATCAATGCTACCCCTGGACCTGCTGCCATCTTCTCTTGCCAGGGAGAATTTCTACTCCCACAATAACTCCTGCACATTTAGGCTGTTTCCACAGCTAAGGAACTTCTCAAACAATGGAGAAAATATTTATTCTGTGGTGCAAAGAGCCACAGGATGTGAAAATATGGGGCAAAAGAAGCAAGCCTGCTTCCTGCAGTTTCTGTGGAAAGGCAGACATAACACAAGGACATATGATGCGAGTCAGAAATGAGCCCTAAGATCTGGGGACGAGAAACTGTGCCTATGCGAGTTGTTAGTCTATCACAAGGGAGCAGTGTCTGGGTGCTGAGGAGGGGAGGGTGCCCTGCATGGATTTTTGTCCAGGGGTTCTACTGGGGCTTACTGCCAGGTGCAGAGGTCAGGCATTTACCTTGAAAAGGATATCTGTACACATTGCTTTTCCATGTGTTATTATTGGTTCTTGATCTTCACCTTTGCCATCCCAACAGTCCAGCTCGACACACCTAAAGACCCAAGAAAAATGACGTCAGCTTCCTTAGTGTTTCAGTACAGGCGAGCTACTCGAGACAAGTTCTGCACAGTGATGTTCAGAGCAGTAAGTTACAAAGCAGTTTTGGGCATTACACAATTCCTTTTAAGCTGCACATGTGTAACTTCAGACTGCTTTTATAACTTCGGGTATATTACCTTAAATATACTATGTGTGGGTCAATATATTTACACCTGAACAATAATGTTTTTAGCACTCTTCTAATTTATTCTCTTACCCAGTTAACAGTGACACATTCCAGTACGTTAAGAAATTAAGCAGGAGATCATAAACTGATTCTCATTTACATATAAACGTCTTAATTACAAAGCAGAAAATCCTCTGAAATTCTTCAGTTGTCATTTTGAGATCAAACTTCTGTTGTCTTTCTCACAACCTGTCTCCTGACATCAATTTCTACATTCCACTGCCTTTCAATATTTTTTCTGAGAAAAATAGTATCTTAAATATGTATATTTTCATTTACCACACTAATATATTTATATATTCAAATATGCAATATATCACCACCAAAGTATATTATGTAGGTTTAAAATATTAGATCCACAAATATTAAAGGCTGTTATCTCCTGCTTCCAACCTGCATCCAGCCAAAAGCACTTGTCTGTACATCTCCACCGAAGACTTGCCACCAAACTGCCTGCCTGTTAAATATGTATTGTGAGAGGAACTGATGAAATAATGAGCCAAAGGATGGTCCATTTCTTGATATAATTCCAAACGGTCTAGGAAAACTGGGGCATTTTCATCTGACATCAAGTATCTGCAAAACCCATCACTTGATATGACACCTAGGGGGAAGAAGAAAGCATGGCAAATTACTACTGGAAATTTATAGTGGCCAGGAATCAAACTGTCTCAGAGAGCAGGAACCCTAGCACAAAAGCTATGTTTACACAGGCTTCTACAAGCAAACAGAAGCTCTCCCCTTCCAATGCTCCAAGCTGACGAGCAACTGTGTCCCTGTTGAAAAGTCTGCCACTGTGTTCCCACATAACAAAAGAAAAAAATCAGGTGCCCACCGAGCTCAATATCCTGTGTCCAACACTCACCATAGTAGACCTAAGGCATCAAGAGGATGTAAAGAAGGCAAATAAGTAGTGACATCTCCTCAGAGTACTCCCAACAATTTTGAGCTCTGGGACTTTGTGAGCCAGAAGTTGTGAGCTTGCATGTACCAGTCTCCTACGGTACTTTTCTCCCCTCTTTCGTATTTAGTCCTACCCTGACTGTGCTACATCGCTGTTAATCAGCTTGCAGCATGTGCAGAGATTGTTCTCTGCTGACAAAAACAAGTGGAGGTGTACCCGAAAACGTTTGCATGTGTTCAATTGTGAAGCATCAGGAAAATTTAAGATACCTTCAAGTTTACTGTCTGAAATACAGGTCTATTCCTTCATAATGAAAAGCAAGCCATTTTCTACAATGAACATGGGACGTACGGTAATTCAGAGGACAGAGTTCGTAACACTTTTCTCTTATTTCTATGCTGTTATATGCTTCATAAAGTATAAAAAAAAATATAAATCAAGGGATAAATTTTAATGAAAACAAGGTAAGAATAATCAGTACTGCAATATCAGTTTTAAAGTGGCCAAGACTGTAAAATGATCTGGGGTAGGGAAGGAGGGATTACTCACAAGGAGTCACTGCAGAGAATAGTTGCCACTAATTTGGAGATTGCTTTCCCTAAAGTCATGTATGAACACTATTGTTAAGGCTGCAGCAGTCTTATTTTTATTTTGTTTAAGACAACTTTTCTCCTATACAGAGAATTCCAGTAATCCTGCTTTTCATTCTTCTCCTAGCTTTCTGAAAAACTCCTCTACTGGAGCTTAAATTTTCTGTGCTTGGTGTCAGCCAGAGGTGAACTGTTCTGGAAAGTCTTATTCAAATCCTCTCAGCTGATTCTGACTTTTGGAAGAAGGGGGAAAAAAAAGGGGCGAAAAGGAATTTTCAACTTTACGAATGTTTTTATTTTGTTGATCACTGAGAACTTAAAAGCAGCAGCACAAAATATCTCGGATGATACGCACTTCTAGTGCATCATCTAGTGGAAAAAAGTCACAGCTGAGCAGGCGTTCTAGACAAACAATGGCTGAGACTTCAGTAGCAGAGCTCTGTGTGCTCAACAGACCAGCCTTTGTATTTTTGACATGCACAGACCAGGTGGAAGAATTTGCTTTTGTAGTGTTCCTGAGCAGACTCTGGTTACTAAACTGCACAGCATTAACTTGTTCAGACTTTCTGTTACTGAAACATAGCTGAGGAAGAGTCAGTTGCTTATTGCTACTGCCTTGTTGTACATCAGCCTTGTTTCTTAAACGACATGATTTAGCAAAAAAAGGCATTGAGCTTAATTATTTGTGCTCAACAGCAAAGTTATATCTAAGAAGAAGGGGAAAGAGACTGCAAAGAACCACCACTGCTGAGATAAATTCTTGCCTTCTTTACATGCTAAGGCTAAACATGTTATTATATGATAGCGCCTCCCTATCCTATTGATTGCATTGGGATAAAATCCGCATCAGTGAATATGATCAATGGAGGAACACCGTAAGAGGACACTGCTTCTGTTGTTACTCTCCATAACCCTATCCCTGCAGAAGGTTTACCACATTTATTTAAAACCTGTTAGAAATATAAATCAAAAAAAGAAGCTAAATAATTAGCCAAGATTCAATTATTGGCTAAAAGAATAAGCCAATATCATTCCCTTGCTACAGCTTGGTGCTTAGAAAATCCTCTTCTTTGCGAACTACTGAATATTGTTTTCCAGTTTTAGACTAATATCCACCTTCATAAAACACGTTTTTACATCTTCCAGCCTAAACAGGTGGCAGCTGTATTAGTACACCTTCCTCATTTTGGAAAATATGTAAAATACACTGGCATCAAGAGGAATCACAGATGAATGCCTTCAAAGAAAAAATAAAAAAGGATAGAGTTGACTAAAATCAAGTAATTAATATTTGGAGAATTCTGCTTCATGTAGAGGGGAAGAGAAATAAGTTACACTGCTTGTGAGTGGAAAATCCTCATAACATTTATAAATGACTCCTAGACAAGAGAAATATCTCCCTCTCTCCCGGGTGATTCCTGGAAAGTCCATGTTTTCTCACAGAACTAAAAGAACGATCTATTAACCCAGTGTACAACACAGTGTCTGGAGTAGCATATACAGTACAAGCTCTTCCTCTAGCGGTTTGGTCAAAAGAACTAAAGTACTATAAGGAATGGTGAAAGCTACATATCCAGCTACAGAAGTTTATAGACTGAGGAAGACAACTGTAAACTCTTCCCAACCGCTGGCCCAAAGAAAGTGAAAGGGGCAGGCGTTTCTGTGGAAGGCATTGCTGGTGTCAACACTTGTGATCATAAAGCAACATAAAGGCACGCAGGGAACCCAACAAGGCTGCAGCACTGAGCGAGAGCTGCCTCGGGCTTTACTGAAGCAGTTTAAGATATTGCCTCTTTCTGTTGTCTGCTTTGCACATCCTTCATCAGCAGGGGCAGCACTAGTGGATGTGTAAAAGCTATTCAGCTTTTCCAGTGCTAGCTTGATTCACTAGGCATTTAGGCTAATGTAAGTGGCTTCCTGTTAAGGATGCCTGAAGGCCTATGGGCTTTGCAAGGCTGCAGTCTCCTCTGCATGCTACCATGACAGTTAACTTCCAGCAAAAGGGCAGGGAGGACAGATGGGGATAGCAACATTTTTAATTTCTGCAGTTGATCCCAACACAGCTATTTCAGCAGAATGAATAAGAACTGGGAGCCAAGTTCAACTCCTGACACCTCCAACACCCACAGCAGCCTAGGACATGAGCAGTCCAAGAATGGCTTGGAGACACTTCCTGCAATCTTTTTGCTCAGACAGAACATTTTCCAATGTACCCACGTAAAATACCCTATTCTAAGCTAGGCTGCTGTCCTCAGGCGCTATACAGATTATATTATAAGAAGGTGGATGCATATCCAATGGTGCACATGGTAATTTATTTTTTTTATTTTTACACAATACCCATACAGCTTTGTAGTCTCTCTGAGACTACCTTGGCCAGAGCCACATGCACGTTGCCTTGTTGCCAGAAGGAGTGTCCATGTTGTTGCCCATTTACTCAATCCTAGACTCTCTCATTTTGTACCAGAACGGCTGTCTTTGTACCCACACTGTAACCTGGATCCGGGAAATAATCCTTCTAAAAAATCACTGTGTTTGAGGGGGAGATATTTTTCAGCCGATCAGTTTCCTGATCCAGTTCACTGTGTGGCCTCACAAGTGCTTGCCCCCTGACCACAAGGACTGTAAGCTCCCTTTTAAACGTTTGGATGCTTCGGAACAAATTCCCCAAATGCCTAAAACCAGTGAATACTGAATTCCCTCCCACATTTACCTTTACTCTTCAAGTCTTCATCTGGCTCATATGTCTCAATTATCTGCATTGCTCTTTTTGTGTCATAAAAGGGAAATAAAATTTCATTGAGCCGAGGATCTCGTTGATGCTAAAGTTAGAAAACAATGGAATTCAGCAAAACAATATAGTGCATAGCTATCATCCAAGAGCATTTCATTACTGCAGATGAGAAAGAAAGAAGTGGACATTTTAAAAAAAAAAAAAAAAAAGAGCCCTAAAACTTACAGACTATTCAACAGCAACTTTAGCTTTAGACAGAAAACGACCCTTATCTTTCATAAGAAACCTAAGAAACCTAGGCAATTTGATTATAAAAATATTTTAAAAGAGCAATCCAGTGCAATCATATAACTAGTCTTACTCTTGCTTGTTCATGAAAATAATGACTGCACGTGGTATACGTGCAAATGAAATGTTGAAAATAAATAAATAGCTAAATCTCTCTTCTTTGTAAATTCTCTCTCTTCCTAATCTTTTTTGTAGGTCATGTAAACTGACTGACTTGACTGATGGCACTGTAATCACCTCTGCAAAAATCCTTCAGCAATATCTACAGCTAAAGTAAAAATTAAAAGTAAAATAAAGCTATACTATAAATACAGAATTTGAAACCCGAGTTTAGAAATATGCAACTACTGATGATTATTTTATTTGTGAATCGTGGAAACATTGTGTTATTAACTATTCAAAAAACAATGTAGGTTCTTAGAAGAAATATGCATAACTTAAAAGAGCTTCACAGTATCGTCTCTTCAATTCACAGCAATTTACAATATTAGGATTTCATAATGTATGTAATATTTAGATACAATTTAGCAGTGATTTCTAATACACTAATAAAACTCAAAGTTTTTAAGTTTTCACTTAATAGTGTGCTACGTAACTTTTGTTTTTCTCCATGCTGGATTAGAGCTGCACACTGTGTGCCTGATTCTCCATTAAAAGAAAATTAAAAACAGAATTGAACGGAGTAGTGGCATGTAAGCAGATGCAATAAAACAAAGAAATAAATGACTGTGAAAACACTCTTTTACCCCAGTAGGTGCACAGTTTTCAAGCTTTAGTTTAAGCAGAATTCAGAAATGTAACAGGCCACCCCCACATTGGTGATCAATAATTTGGAGTGGACAGGATGGTGTTGATATGGCTTGGCACAGCACTGTCAGCATTTGCTGTAATTCCTTATCTATAAACTTTTTGACATTTTTTCATGAAAAAAGCAATATCCAATCAAAAACAAGCACTTGATCTCTTTTCTTACAATCAAAGATTGGTGCACGTGCTTAATTAATTCCAAGAAATTACAACAAATGCCAATTTAATCATGCAATTAAGGAGGGATCTTTCAAGTAATGCTACTGACAGTCTGCAGCATCAAAAATACAGCAGTTTCATTCACTACAGATCAGTTGTCTGGATATCTAAGTAAAACTCAGATGAAATATGATATGAGAGCAGATGAATGCAGGACATAACTTGCTAAGCAGCACATAACATGCAACACTGGCATGCAACAGTACAGTTTACTGTGACAAATGACAAGCTTTATACCATTAGTGACAATACACCACTTCAAAAAATTGTAAGAAATAGTAGGGAAGGTTCTTAACTCAAGAAAAGTGCTCTTCCCCACTCTCTTTCTTCTACAGTTAGTCATAAGCAAACAGAAGAAAATAAATGGGATAAAACAAAAAGTCTCCTCTTGAGAAAGAGTCCCAGAGTTATCAGAAGGAGCTAAGAGCAAAATATTCTTCTTGTAGCAATGATTATCGCTAATTACCAATTTTCCATTTGAACAAAAGCAGGTCTTTACGTTTACTTAGTTTAAAAAATAAAGCAAAATTGACAACTGATGAAGTTTTACTTAAAAAAAGGAAGAATGCTTACTAGTGTCTCTTGGGGAAACGTTCTGCACTACTGAGCTTTTTGGAACAGGAAAGTTGTAACACAAAAGCTGACCAAAACAAAAAGCATGAAGTTTCATCTAGAAAGACAACATGCTCCAGGACTAATTGTGTATGCCCAACAAAGTTGCATTTGATTGTTCTAGTTACCATATTACACAGGAGACCCTTACACTAGACATTCTTAACCATATGAGGGTGAACCATCTAAAAGCATGGGGAGAAAGAATGCCTGCATGGTTCTGCAAAGAGAGGTAATTTAGCCTCCCCAACTTGACCTCCAGTCTCCTCTTTGAGTGGATACAAACTGAGATGCACAGCAGTTAATAATCTGCCAGAACCAATTCTGCCTCTTGAATTTGTCCTGTGCAGCAGTAAGAAGGGTGTCCTTTTGTGGAGATGAAAAACAGGAAGATAGAAAAAGCAAGCGAGCGAGTAAGAAGGAGGAAGGAAGAGCGAGCAGGTGAGTAGAAAGGAGGGAAGGAGGAAGAGCAAGGATGTGGGAAAGATGGGGGCAGTGGGAAAGAGGGGGATAGAAAAGGATCTCCTCATACCTCCTTCCCAGGAGGAAGGATGAGTCCTGGTCAGACTACCGAATTTCCATTTTGACAGTCACTTGGCTTATTAATTTATTGCTGCAAATGAATGGCAGGAGCAAATCTCAATAGTAGTGATTTCAGTTCTTTTGCTACTACATTTTCTTTTTTCAAAATCTGACTTTAAAAAAAGACAACCTAGACAAAATACTCTGTGCCTGACAATAATTACATTTCTAAAAACTTCCCAGAAGCTTTAATACTGATACACAATTAAATCAGCTGTCAGCCAGCAGCATTTAAAAGTCAAATAAAGACAGCAGTTTGGAAAAACTCCAGGAAAGCAGCTCACTCTCCACTCATACCCAGTAACGTATCCTCACACTCCTTTAAAAACCCATAACACTTAGAGCTTCTGCAGCATGCCTTGGAGGTTACTGAACTCAAAATAATTTAGGTTAAAGACTCTCACGAAGAATGGCTCTGCCAAGTAACTCCTCTCTGCTAAATAATGATAATAATCTTTTTATATTTTCCAGCATTAAACACCACTGCTAATTACAGTGTTGGCCAGCTGTCAAGGGGACAAAAATGATCACTTCAGGAGGGAGATTCTGGGTCATTTGTGCCTTTCAAATCATGACCAAAACTTTAAACTCTATTTGGAGACCAAAAGACCTCCAGCACAGAGCCAAAGGCATTAGTTTCAGTCATCAGAATGACTGTCGTACTCTATAAACTACTAGACTAATTTTTCCCAGCTCTGGTCACCAACTAAAGGGCCAACTACAAGATTTCCAATTGCAAAATGTGTTGTGTCGATAAGAATGAAGCCAACAAGATGCATCTTTCTCCAATACTGCCCATAAAATAAAGCTTCTAATTATGTAAAAAGAACTGCTAAAACAATACAAAACTGAGAGCACAACAATTCAATTTTAATTTTTTTATCAGTTACTGGAGATAGCCGGGAAGTTCTTACAATTGCTGGCAGCTCTTCTTCAGAAGTTTGGGCTTCAAGGAAGCACACTTTAAACTAAAACAATTACAGAGATCAATTTTTAAAAAATGATAAAACAGTAGTTTACTGAAAAATGAGGATTTACACTAAAAAAAAATCAGAAGCTAATATGGTTCAAGGTGGGGACAGGGCTGTGTGCTTCAAGCAGTGAAGTGTGTATCTATCACTACAAGTGAATTGGGGGGCTGAGGTACTTTAAGGGGATAATTTATAATTTAAATCACAACATTATCCATTCTCTCTTCAATGCAGGAGCAAAAATGACATGCCTTAACTATGACCCCAGTCCTGCAAACATTTAGACACTGAACTTTGTAAATGGCTGTGACAAAAGAACATCTCACAGTAGTAAGATTAAGCGTGTGCTCCAATTTGCTAATAGAGAGAACTGTGTGGATACGAACTAAGGCCCCAGGTATGTAACCATTAGCCCTGAAGATGTTGATCTTCTCATTATCTTTTCCTTTTGAATACTCTTTCTACATGTAATTCAGGTTTGGGGAAGAGTAAGGCATGCATTCCCTACTGAAAAAGAAAACCATATTCTAGATTTGATATGTGGGGAACTTACTGCTTGAATTTTCATATAGCAGTATGAGATATATAATACATACAAAAATATAAAATAGATTTATAACTAGTAAAATAATTTTAGATGGAGAGATTTTTGGTAATGCACGGAGCCCCTAAAAGATCAGGCAGAGAGGTAAAGCAGCTATCCATGTTCCAGATGACAAGAATCTACTGGTACAAAAAAAAAAAGTAGAATGTGCCTGTTTTCCATGTGTATGTTCTTGTCAAATCTACATAGTGCATTTATTGTTGCAATTCCGAATGAGTCAGTCTTCTATAACTTACTGTGCTTTGGGAATAGAAAAAAAACCAACCCCACACTATTTATTGAACTACTTTGCACACTCATAACGTTTTTAAGAAATACTAAATACTTTTGCCAACAACTGTATTCTGGAAATACAGCAATAAAAATATTTCCTCTTATTCTTCACACATAGTATTTTAAAAATCGTATACAAACTCTTAAAATATCCTCTTAGCTCTTAGATTTGTAATAGATTTAAATAATACTGTCGAGAAGAATCAAACCACTGTTTATAAAAGCCTACTTCATTTTTTCTGTTATTCAGAAGGATTAGCAGATATATATAGCTGTGGCCTGCAGGTAAAGTAATTGCTTATAATAAAATACTGGGAGTATTTTAGTTGAAACTGCATTGAATAGAAGAGTATAAAATGTATAAAACATAAATAACACACAACGTAACACAACAGCAAGTAATCAACAGATGCAGTCTGCAAAGCCAACATGTAGAAAACACAACATACAAGGTTGGAGCTGATTTTTGCACCTGGATGTTACCATAATGGAAAGATCAGCGGATCAAAAGCATAGCAAATAATGGCATGATCCATGCAATGGAAAGATTGGAAGAAGCAAGCCACTGCAGACAGACTTGTATGGTAGTTAATGTATGAAAAAGCTTACTTCATTTAGAAAGCTCACTAATTGGTCTACCGTTAAATAATCAGTTTTGTCTCCATTGCTGAAAAGAAATTTATTAGAGAATGTAAGTTTTCATATACGATGCTACAGTAGGTATGATTTACATGTTGACATTGTTGATACTTTTAAAATCACCTACTTTTCTACCTGATGTAGCTCTATAATCTCAAAATGAACAGTCACAGAAAACATACTAACTGTCTATGCTTGGCACAGTATATCTTCCATACTTCCTATAACTTAACAACATTACTTCATAAAACAACATGTAAGTCCTCCAGCTGAGAATAAATTGAGTGAAGAAACTTTTTAAACTTCAAATTTCTTATTTAATTTAATTAGTTCACATACTGCGTTAATCACCTAAAGAAGCAAGTTAAAATTACAGTAGTTAGTAAAGCCAATGCAAAAAAAAACGTTTCAGGTGCTTCCTCTAACTCATGTAAAAGTTGCTCTAAAATACAGAGTGAACTTCTACATTAACAATCTGAGAGGGAAGGAAAGGGAAAAAAACTTGAGTTTGTCTTAAAATACTGCTGATGCTACTAGGATTCAAGGTTAGATAATCTTTACAGCTTTCTGTCACGATTAGATATGGACTAAAAATACAGCAAAATGAGTTTAAAGCAAGATTATATTAAATTTGAACTTACATCTTCTTAAAGAGGTCTTCAATGTCAGTTCGGGGACATATCTTTTGGGTGAGCTCATAAAACTTCTCGTAAGTAAACGCTGCGGGCTCAATTTCATCATTCTGCAACAAAACGCAAAGGTACATTTATCCAGCAAAAGAGAGCTTATATGCTCTTTTCCCAAGAGCATATCTTATATCAGAAAAAGCAACCGAGAACTGTTTTAGCTCTTCACCTAGTATTTGCTTATCTAGTTTCTTTTGTATTTTCTGAAAACAGTTCTTAATTCATCTTTATCATAGATCTGTTTGATGTGCTTATATTCTGACCTCACAGTAACATTAATTCTACATAAACACAGAACTGGAAAATAGTATTTTCTTCTGAAGCTTAAAAAAAAAAACCCAAAAGACCACAATAGTGTACAAACTTCAGGATACTTATACTGAAGCCAAGGAACATTGAGAAAAAGTCCCAGGTTTGGTGCAATGGTTTTAAAGAGCAAAGCAGCTCTCATACAGGAGCATGTAAAACTTCCATGAGGGAGGGAACACATGGCTAACACATTCAGTATCATGTCCTCCTCTGATCAAGATAAGAACTGCAGCAGTGAGGAAAAATTTCATCTCAGGTGCCAGGCAGTGCTACAGCTGGGGATTCATGTCTTTCTACACCCCCTCTCCCTGGCTGGAGACTGCTGAGCCTGCAGCGCTGCTCCTCACCAGGCGCTTGCTGTGGTCAGGCCAAGAACCAAGGGCTGGAGTCTCCAAAATAAAAGAAGGGAGACTGGGCAGGGAGTAAAGCCGAAAAAACTAGCCGCAACTGTAACCAGCTGTCACCTCTCTGCGGCTGCTGGCAGGGGCACCCGCTGCGAGTGGGACAGAGCTGGACAGCAGTTCTCCAACGAAGGGAGCAAAGAGCAGGAGGAGTCCAAGAAGTGCAACTGAGAGGACAGCATGCAACAAAAAAAGTATTATGTGCATATTCTGTGCTCATGTACTTTGTATAAATGAATGAAAGGTAGTCCGTTACAGAAAAGAAGGGAAGCCTCATCTAAGAGCTTTAAGGACCACTATGTCATACAGATTTAATTACATTTTGGTTTTAGTAAACAACCTACAGTGATTAATAAGTTACTCATGAACAATAGGCATGTTTTTATGTGATGCAAATGACTTAAGACCACAGCTATGAATGTGAATGATTCATCAATTTAATTAGTACACAAAAAAGTTATTCAAAACCACTAAATACCTTTCCACTGGGAAGACCTAATTCCTTAAGTGCCTGAAAGATCACTTTTTCTGTTTTACCTGAGGCAAAGGTTCTGGTAATGCTAAAACAAAAGAGTGTGGAAAAAAAAAGAAGAAATGTTAGTCGCTTTTTAAACAATCAGTTCTCTCTCTCTTGCTTTTACTGCCAACATTTTCCTCTGGCTTAAACTGACAAATGTAAGCATCTTCCCAGTAATAGTGCAGTTGAAAAAGTGCTCTAAGCTTCACAGAGCTCTGCCTGCAAGCTATCCATTAGAAAATATATCAAAATAATGGACTGCAAAAAGAACAAGAGCGGGTTTTTTCCCAATATACTGGGATACAGAGCCGTGCAAAGCATTATTCTGTTGGCTCTTTTCACCTCTACGAATAGATAAATGACTGTGTTTAAAAAGTAGCAGATTATACAAGTGAGGAGACTCATGTCTCCAGCCATTCTTGGTTGTGGTGACTTCCCTTCCTTTCCAAGCATTAACCTATGCCTCCCAGGTCATCTATAAAGTCAGCATGAACCACTTCCAGTGGCAGCTTCCTTCCTCTTCCCTTTTCAAGCAGCCACTGCTACCAAGAGACTTCCACATGCATGTTGAACCTCATTCCCTGTTCCCTCACCAGCTGCAGTGCTCACCCCTCCCGTTGGTTGCTCCCTCGCCTTATGAATATCTGTGTGGTAGACAAGAGTATGCACAACTCATTTAAGTAGGTCTCAGCTGCCACTCACATATTTCCACCAAACTGATTAACATCCACTTCCTTCCGCAAAACAGGGGTGATTTCACCATGCATGAGACTGACAAACTGGTTTCACTTGAAATTAAATAAATCCAATTAAAGCTTAGCTATTTGGTGTGATTAATGTGAAAGCGGTTTGGTCTATTTCTGTTTTCATTTGAGATGAGTTTGAGCAACCTCTAACTCTGGAAAAGTAGTTCCAAACTTGACAGCTCTCCTTCCTCCTGTTTAGGGTCTAAGCTAAAATGATGTGTCCCATGACCCCTTCGTTTTGGTGTCTCAATCTGGAGAGAAAAACTGAAGTCTGTATCCAATACTTATTTATAATGCTAACAAAAGCTAGACCTTGGGAAAGACTCTATAGTTGCCTGATAAGAATATTTTGCTCCTTATCATCAAGTGAGACAAACATTTGCTGAGACTTTTTGTTAACCTCATGCATACTAAATAATTTCACATGGTGAAAGATGTGAAACAAACTCTTGCTGTTATTTGTTGCCGTGCTGGTTTTGGCTGGGGTAGAGTTAATTTTCTTCATAGTAGCTAGTATGGGGCTATGTTTTGGATTTGTGCTAGAAACAGTGTTGATAATACAGGGATGTCTTAGTTATCGCTTATTAGCGATAGCGATAGTTATTAGCAGTGCTTACATAGAGTCAAGGCCTTCTCTGCTTCTCACCCCACCCCACCAGCGAGGAGGCTGGGGGTGCACAAGAAGTTGGGAGGGGACACAGCCGGGACAGCTGACCCCAACTGACCAAAGCAATATTCCATACCATATGACATCATGTTCAGCATATAAAGCTGGGGGAAGGAGAAGGAAGGGGGGAACCTTTGGAGTGATGGTGTCTGTCTTCCCAAGTAACCGTTAGGCGTGATGGAGCCCTGCTTTCCTGGAGATGGCTGAACACCTGCCTGCCGATGGGAAGCAGTGAATTAATTCCTTGTTTGGCTTTGCTTGTGTGCACAGCTTTTGTCTTTATCTCAACCCAGGAGTTTTCTCACTTTTACCCTTCCGATTCTCTCCCCCATCCCATGGTGGGGGAGTGAGCGAGCAGCTGTGTGGGGCTTAGTTGCCGTCTGGGGTTAAACCATGACAGTTGCCATAGCAATTCACAGTTGTTTTACTCTCCAAAACACTCTAAACCGCCTAGGTAAATATTTTCATACTAATAAAATCAAGATCAGGAAGTGAAAGATCTAAATGATAAAATAATATTTTAACAAATCTTGGCCAATTTTTTTTTACTGGGTTCTTAAAACAGTTAGGTTTCGATGTTCCTATTTAGGCACCTAAATAAGTTATTTGATTTTCCAAAGCTGATAAGTACTGAGATGTTTTCACTAAAATATAGACTGAGTTTAACTTTAGGCACTTGTTTCTTAAAAAAATCTCAGGCGTCTATTTTTCTACTAATTCTAAAACAGAGTAATGTTAGCTCTACAATTTACAACCTATCTCTAGCCCTGTAAAAAATTCTGTGTCTGTTCTAATGAATTGGGCCCCAATAATAAATGTCACATAAAACGTGTAATATTGGCGTAAGTAATTAATCAGAAACTATGAGCCAAGATTCCATGGCTGCAGGGAACTTATTTTTGATGCCAAACTATTTTTTATTTCACCAAAGATGACAGCAAACATAGCAGTAATTTGTAATGACAGCAGCAGTCTAGAAAAGATTGCATGAATCAAAAAAGATTGTAAAAATACAGCATTACACTTTCATTTTGCTAAGAACATTGTAAATAAAACTACTTTTCCATCTATCAGAAGAGACTTCATCCTAGCAGATTTACATTCACCTTGTTGTACGCCTTGGAAGAAAATTGGGCTACTTCAGATGCAGGCAAGTTACTGGTCGACAGATACCTACAGGTGTTTACTCCTCATGTTCTACAGTTGTTTGGGGCTTTTTAGGGTAACATGTACTTCCTCATAAATATTTAAAACACTTCCCAATTCTGGGACCGAGAGGTATGAATCTATCATGCTTGTTGATGGCTTAAATGACTTGGTTACTTCAGACTTCATCACTTTCCAACCATTACTTCAAAAATCAAGCCAACACATAAACGGTTCAAATCAATCTTTTATCACGGCTCCACTGCATTTATCAGTTTGGCTAGAACTGGAAGTACCACCGCCTACACTGTACAAGAAATTACATAAAACTATGATTTCCAACCATCATCTAAGTATTGAAACAGATTTCTTCCAGGCACTCTAGAGTAATCGATACAAAACATATTTACTAAAAAAGTGTAATTTCAAATTAATTTAACTACTGTAAAACAGATTTAAGTCTCATTTGTCATAGTTTAGCTTTTTCTTTTTTTACGTATTTTCATAGTTAGAAGCTAAATTAGCTTAAATCCTTTTAAATGTAGTTATACAAGGGATAAGCACAGATTGAGCAAAGCTAATTTCTAAACAGGCTCTAGTTGAACAGGTGCAACTTGCACATGTAGAAAATTCATTTTCTGCCAACAGAAAGCTGCAGAAACCAAGCAGATTATTTTTTTAACAAATGCTGACCTTTTTAGTCAACATTTACAGTAGCGTTAAAATCTGAAAATACAAAATATCTTGCCAAATGCCCTGTCCTTGTAAGACCTGTAGATGTAGTTCTAGACTCCGACTGCTAAAATTTATTAAATCCCAAAAGACAAATCTGGTGCTCTCCTAAGGTTTTCGCACTACTAGCTGCCAGAATTTCTTCTCTCCCAAACACAGTAGGTTGACAGTAATAGATATATGCCCCAGAGTACATTAAAATCTAAAAGTAGTTGAGAAGAATCTTCAAGACTCTGCAACCCCCAATTGTACTAACGAGGACTCAGGAATATTTATGCCATTACCACCGACAGCCTATGGAGTTTCACCTACTCAAGGCTCATCACTCCCTATGGCCATGTGCAAGCTGCAAAAATCTGTCTTAAATCTGAAAAGAAATGCAAGGAGCTCTGATTTCCCAGGTGAGTTGTTTTTTTTTCCCTCTCAGTGTTTTATTGCACTTCTGTGTAAAAATGAAATAAAGGTGATCTTGTGATACACATTCCTACAGCTTAACAGATCTGCTGGGTATTCTGTTTCTGAGAGAATAACCTTCCTATCTGTATCCCCAAAGCTACAGCAATTGGTATGGGAGTCCCTGCACAGCAGGAGGAGGCAGAGGTTTGATGAAGCAGGGCTGACTAGATTAACATTTTATTTAAAAACAGGTATATGGGAGGGGCTGACCATAGCAATCTGGAGATTAGTTGAAGGGGAAGCATCAGTGGTTTAAACCAGTGGAAAGAGTTACTGGGGAGAGGCCTAGGTAAACAATCTGAAACTTGGTGCATCTTGCATAGCAGAGCCCACATTTCCCAGTGCTTCCTGGCTTGCCTTCCTCTTACACATATCCTTCTGCTTACGCATCTACCTCCTGTTCCCTCTTATCTCTCCACGCTCCTTCTCTGCGCTAAATGTTTGTGGGAGGAGGAAGGAAGCAATGAAGTCCCCCACATCCCAGGCTGGCCAGTGCTGAGAGACCTGGGCACCCCTGTCCCACTTCACGATAAGTAGCTATTGCTGAATCAGGCTACTGTCATGATCTTGCTGTCCTCCATCAGGGCTCTGATTCACCCTCTTTCCAATGTAGGTCTACAGAGCAGACTGATTTTTTTTCCCTCATTTACATTCCTCCACTACAACTTTACTCCAGCCTCTCACTGACATCTCTCCTAGTCCTTTCAGCGGGTGGTACAGTGCTTCCCAGATGAGCTCCAAAAAGTTGCCACATTTCACCCACACCAACATAGCGCATTCCTTGGAGCATCCAAAAAAGATTCAGCTTCCCTCTGCACAGCATGGAATAGTAGCTCCCTTACAAATTTATACTGCAAATATATACTTTTGCAATAAATTAAGCTGCTAGAGACTGATTTATGTCTACGTGGAAATAGTGCAAATTTGGAAAAACAAACTCCTGGAACTGGAAACATTTTTAAGAAAAATGATTCAACTTCAAGAGAACATTTAAGTCCTCTAAAATCGAAACTGCAGATCCAGCAGGAAGATTTAATACACTGGAACCAGTGGACTGGACTCTCTTCAGAAATATCCGGGCTTGTCCGCATGCGCAAATCAGTGTGCTGTAGCACAACGGAGAGAATTTATGCCTTGCTAAATGTGAGGTAAAATATTTCAAGGCAGGAAGACAAGCTAGCGCACTATAAAGTCATACTGAGGAATAAAGCTCTATGTTCAAACACAGGCATAAAGCTCTAAGTCTTGAAAATTAATTTGCCCCTGTAGCATTGTTCCCTCAGCTTTACCCTTCAGTTGATATTCCTCATGGGGCTTCTGCACAGAAGGTGCCTCATGGCAGTTTAGTTCAAATTTGAGAAATAAGCAGGGGCTTGGCAACGTGGAAGTTGACAGATTAATACACTGAAGCAACCTTAACACTGTCAAGGTGTCACTTGAGTCACAAAACTAAAGAAACCTGGAAGGCACCATGGCAGGCCCTTTGTCTTCTTGCAGATTCCAGAGATGCAAAATCCTCTCTTTCTCCCTTGAAAAAAATGTTCTGTGAGGCTTATCTTACAAAGTCCTCCTTCTTGTTCCCTTCTGTGAGTTTCTGTTTATGAAAAAACAGCATGCCCCAAAAGTGTGGTTTTCACATACTGCATGAAGAGGAAAGAAGCTCAATGTATCAGCAAGAATTAATTTCTAGAGCAGGAGGGGGGAGAACTACTGCCTAACCAGAGAGGACGGAAAATCAGTAACTTGTAATAGTTAATAGCTGTTAACAGAAAGAAGTACATTGTTCTAGCTTTTCTGTTACTGACAACAACTAACCTAACAATTCATTTACCATGTGGAGAAAACCAAATGTTATCCTGGGGATTCCTATAAAAGCAGAAGTATTTTTCGAAGCGCTATATCTGTCTCTTTTACAATGAACTACATTTTAAAACGTAACTTTTTGTCCTCTATTAACTGGCCTGCAAGTTTTTATGGTTCTTTTGATAAGTATTTTATGAAGTTTTACAACTGAAAAACTCATCCCAGAGTTTGAGGAGTTTTAAGCTGAGAAAACTGATGCTCTTAACTCTAAGTGAATTTGAGAACAATTACAAGTGCTCGTATCTTCATTACAATGGACTAAGAAAAAAACTACTAAGCTGATAAGAAGTCCTGCCTAGTTTACCAAGGAGGTATGAAACTCAGCTAAGTATGTCTAGTTCTGTACTTATTTTTATTATGTATTAGTAATAAAATTGATATTATATTTCATTATTAAGCCACAGAATTTTATTAACATTATACAACCAGTACCTGATAAAAATTTGAACTCCCAATTGTGCTTACCTCCGAACTGGAATTTTCCCATTTGTGTTTGTTAGAAAGGCCAGCTTCATCCAGCTGAAATTAAGAAGGAAATATTTTTAAAATGCTATTCATTAAAATTGGGATCTAGATACTTATATTTAGATTAAGATTATTGCCATGTCTGTGAAATGAATTCAAACAAATAATTGTTCTGTAATAAAAACATTTTTCTGTAACCTTTTAGTGCTTGAGGCAGAGCAGTTCTGTAACTGTAAAGGCAAAAAGCAGCCCAAAAGAATCAGTACATCAATTAACATGAGCGTGAAGACAAGAAAGACTCATGGGGTTTTGTCTGCATATGCATCAATGAAAGAACAAACCAGACAATAAATAAAACATACAATATCAATAAATCAAATGAACAGTTATAAATTCCCTTATAATTTCTCCTGGGCAGGTGCCAGATATAGACTTGAGACCTCTTCTGGTCACAATGAAAGATAAACCCTAAACTAACTTATCACTATTTTCTTTATTACACTGTTTTGTGATTGCAAATGTTGAACTATGAAAAACAAAATCTTTTTTTTTTTTTTAATTCCAAGAAGGAAAATACAAGGACAGAAAAATAAAAAGGAGAACGGAGAAAGGAGAGGAAAGAAAGTAACTTACTGTTTCTTGAGACATGTCATTGGACTGACATTGTTAGCTCTAAAGTTATGTATGATAGATCCAAGCCCCTCTACCCATTGCTGAAAAACACAAAAATAAGAAACACAAAATTAGGAAAACTGAAGAGGGGAAAAAGTAGGAAAGTTTGTCCTGGGGGAAGGCTCTTCTTCCTTGCAGCTATGGACAATGTTAACAACCTGAGTTGAGGAAAAAACCTGCCCGCTTCACAGCCTATAACACTACGGAAAAGTCCAGCCACATTTTACCTATTACTATTTCATCCTTCACTAAACAACGTGATTGTGCTTTCCATTCTTCCAGGTACTACATGTAGCATCAGCGGTGCTATTAAAAGAGTTTATTGCCAGCAAAGGCAAGCAGTGCATTGATTGATTTATTAAGCCTTCTATTTATAGCCTGTATAAACATATGCCTACCTTTCAGCTGCGGCTGGCAATATTAACTATTACTAAGCAACATTATACAGTATGTGATGACATATTTAACTGGTCCAGTTTTAGAAAAAGGAATGAAACACAATATTAATAAGCTAGAGCAAACCACAGGGAGGCACAACAATTGTTCTGTGACACTGACCTCATCTAACACCCTGTTACATATTCAAGTCCTGTTTGCTTTCTAGCTTTCATCCTTAAAAAGCAAAACGTTCCAGTAATCATTGGGATGACTTTCACCAACAGCAGTATTACAGCACTTACTTATGTAATTCCTTTTTATGGATATATTTTTCTACTATAGCTTGTACCTAGACTTTGCAGTACTGTATAGAAGAAGTTTAAGGATTAGGCCCTAACATGAACACTCATTGATTTCAGCAAGAATCCTGGCAGGATAAAGCTATAGGAAGAGAAAAAAAAAAAATGACAGCACTACAAGCCAAGTTCAATCTCAATTATGCCATTGTAATGCTAGGATTACTCAACAGATAATTTATACTGGTAGAACTGAGATGGGATTTGGTCCACTGCTTAACATTAACCTAATGAATAAAGAAGCTTCTTGCTTCCGGCCAAATTCTGTGTGTGCAGCTTGAACTGACTTGGGCAGGATCCAGGATTTGACACTTATAAATAGATGCAGATGAGTATATTTTTCTTTTCATGAATGAGTGCTGTACATCTGCAAAACAGATTAAAAAAATCATCATTTATATAGGAGGAATATGAACATCTTTGGAAAATGGCATATTGTAAACTGCAGGCAGTAAACCCCTATGGGCTAAAACAAGGTCTAAGGGTCAATTCAGCAGATAAACACACTTAAGCAGACCCTCATACTCATGACACATTACAAGCCCATCACAAACTTCTTTTTAAACAAGGAATTGTTAATCAGACTTCCTTAAAAATAGACCTTATAAATCTATTTTGCTTCAGGAAAAGTAGCCATTTATTAAGACATATATTAATATTTAAATATTCCTTTTCAAATTATCCTTTTTCAGAAGTACTGCATAAAACATACATTTTTAAAGCTAGCATTTGGGGTTTTCTCAGGTGTGTTTTTATGCTTGAAAACAACCCACCAGTAACAGTCTGCCCTCCCATTTCTTTTTGCCCAACTGCATGAATAAGATGACTTAGTAGTCACAGCATGGATGTACTGTCTAAGGCTATAAAGATAGCAAAGTTCATGGCAAGAGATAATATTATTTATTAGAACTGATATAGCTGGAAGCCGTTGACAGACTTAGGGAACAATTATCTTTTCCTACAAATGTTCCCTCACCAAAGATGATATTGGAGTAGTGCTTGTGATAATTTCAGGATAAATGCCTGAACAAGTCTCACGCATATTTTAATCTGCTAGAACTGTCAAAATTCAACTATCATTATTCAACTATCACCAACTATCTACATTTGGCTTTTTGTGGTTTGTTTGGTTTTGGTTTTTTTAAACAGTAAAATGTAACATTACTGCTGCATTAACACCGTCACAGCTATACAAAAATTCCTCCTCGTAAGATCTGGATTAGTCTGTAGACCCTTAAAAGCTCCTCAACCTTTCAACACTGACCCATAAAGTAAAAAGGCATATGCACTGCGAACAAAAAACCCTTGCAAAACTACATGACACAAAATGCATGTTGTGAATAAGCTTCAGTCTCTCAAAACGCCCAATTTTTTTCTGCTAAAAAACACCATTGGTGCAGTACTGGCAATGTCACCATTTCAATAGGAAATAAACACACACAGATCCATTCTGATTTGAAGGCAATGGATTGCAACTACACCAGATATAACAAACTCTAACATTTAAAAGTAAGGTTATCAAGCACTCAGTTCTGAAGCTACTTCTGTACATCAAGAATAGCTGCCAAAAAGGAACACTGCTAGAAAAAAAAAAAAAGAGTATAGAGAGAAATGAATACACTAACCACTTACCAAGTAATTTCTTTGCAGGAATTGTCTTGATGATTCCCACTTTAGAGGGCTCCCTAATCTTTTTTCAATGATAATGCTCTTTCCTGATAGAGATGCCAAATCAGGAACTGCATTCTCTTACACCAAAAGAGCACAGAACTACAGCCAAACACTGAAAAACCACAAAAGCAACACATCTCTGCTGGCACCAAGCAAGGGAGTAACCTAAGAATCTCTGCCCATCTATGAATCGTCTTTACATTGGCATGATGTCCCCTGGGCAAGACATGGCAGTTCAAGAGACACATTTGCCTATCTGTTGCACACCACACAGCTGCACTACAATGTAGCATCTGGCTGCTTGTACTTCAGTTTGGGGCTAAAGCAGTTTCTGCAGCCTTTCATCAGATATTCCCCACAGTTACCAGCTGGCCCCAAATTAACTAGGAAGAAGAGAGCTGAGGGAAAAAAAATGTTTCTGGATTGTGAACATATTATATAGAAGCAAAATGACATAAGATGAAAAAATTTCGTCATCCATAAATTAATATACAGGCTCAATGCAAACCATTCGAACTCTTTGTCCTTCTGAGTCAGAATAGTCTCCAAATAACAACTATCTTCATAATCACTTTTAAGGCACTGTGATTCAGTGCACAGATATTCACAAAATATCCAAAGCCTGAATACTCTGACAAATGTCAAGCTGGCAATACATTGCTTTCCTGACAACAAACTATTCCCAGATCTAATGTACACTTGTCTGATGACCTTGTGGGAGGGATAAAAGAAGAGCTCAGATTTTTCTCAGCTAACATGCTACAAAGAATATAGCCTGGCTTGCATGCTATGACAGCACTCCTTATTTTACAGATGAAGCTGAAAGACCTGTAAACCTATGTAAGTAAACAGGGATAAAGATCCTCAATTCTCTTCTTTCATGCTCAGCATTTCCAAATCACTAGCTCTCCAAAGAAGGAAAATCCTATAACAAGATGAAATTCTGAAATAAGGTAGATAGGAAACACTTCACTTGGGTCCTACGCAAAATAAAGTTACAAAATGGTTTTGATAGAAATACAGGATACGTTTGATTCTTACTGACGCTAGTGCTAAATATTTTCCAATTTTCAAAATATGGCTCAGTACCTTTAATCTGTCAACGTAGCTCCTGAATGGCTCTCTATATACCATGAAGTATTCCAGGTTCATATGAAAAAGGAATCGGGGCCCTGCTATCTAATCCTAGAGAAACAACAACCATGGAAAGAAACAAAGACAAGTACACCTTAAACACAGAATCTTAGGCTGACACAAAAGGCCAAAATCTAAGTACACTGCGAGCTGAAATAAGCAGACTGTGTTGTTTTTCTCTAACAAGATCCAACATCATCAAATATCTCTATAAGGAGAAGGTGCAAGAAAAATTGATCGAAGTGGCACTCTCTCAGCTTTTGCTGCAGTAGTCAAATGCTTCCGAGGCACTTAGTGACCTTGCGTTAGCTGGGGTTCATCAGTGCAACACAGGCAGCAGTGGCAGGGCTGCCTGTTCGATAAGTTTAACCTCTCAGCTCTCTTCTAGCCATCAACCTCTCATTTAGGAGGGTTAAAAAGGGCAAAAATTATGAAAGGCTAAAAATCACTGTAACCTACAGCTCATGAAATTCTAGACAAGGTCATCCATGGCTTATTTATAGATAAGGTCAGTGTTATCCAAGACCTCTTGAGATTATTTTGCCTTCACTTTTTCAGTGCAGTCTCTCCACAGATGCACTCTACTTAATTCAAGCATCGGGAATGCTGGGGTGGCAAGGAGGCACTGCCTTCTGATTTTGGTATTCAGTGCCTGAGACTGCCTGTCAGAGTCAAGGGCTTGACAGCTTGAAGGTTCAGAATACCCACGGAGAATAGAACCATGTTTCCCATCTCTTACAAAGACAGACATGGCCTGGCAGGATTCCCTGGTACTTTGCCCTCATTCAGCGATGCTGTGACCAGTAGATGTCCCTCTTCTCTCAATGCAGATGTCTCAGAAGTAATTTCTGTTCTATAAGAATTGCCAAATCTCTAATGTATGAGACAGCAAAAGCCAGGAGACTAGACTAGTGACGGTGTAAAACCTATCCCCTACCTGACCAGCTGCAGCACAGACTTGCAGGATATTGCTGTGAAAATTCTGTTACAAAGATAAAAGGGACTCTTCCAACTTTCAAGTATTTCATCTGGAAAGCTGAGGCTCACACAAACACTCTGTATTGGGAGTTGCCTGATGTGTCCAGACTGCTTCCACCCTTCACAAAGCTTTCCACCCCAGAATGACTTTTCCAGCATTGGAGGGGTCTACTCCGAAAGCGGCCGGAAAACTCGCTTCGGCTGCTTTTGTATACAGACCAAGACAAACATAGTGGAGGTTTACACAGTGAAATCGACCTCCTGGCTACAGAGAACCAGGGCTGAAGTTTTCAATTTACTGATAACTCCAAGTGGCATAGCCAAGAAAGAACACACAAAAGCACAGAAAAGCAAGCACATTGAAATCACAGATGCTTAACTGCAGACTGGCTAGGATATGAAGATTTCTCTAGAGAACATGGTATTACATACTTGGCACAGGACTACCTGAACATGTAACCAGCAGTCATATGTTTAAGACAGTCATAGTTTAGAAACGTTTACCATGTCGATTATGAGACATAAGCCACATACTAACATAATGGGACACAGAGAACAGCAGCAGACTTCTAGAGTTCTGTTCAAGTGTTTTCTGCAGGTTTCTTGGAAAGTTTTTCTTTGAAACATCAAAACAAACCAAAGCTATGGGAAAACAGAACTTTTCTGTAATGTGACTATAGGATATTCCTGTGAGAATCTTCTGCTACCTTCTAGCTGCCCCCCTAGCAATATGATTTGGGCAAATAATTAATAGCTTGTTTCATGGGAAAAAAAAGGCAAGGTCAATTGAAACAGAACTTTTTTGTAAGTCAAAAAGAGCCATATAGTAGAAACAGCAACAAAAACTATCAGCCTGAAGTGCTTCATCTTACCAAAACCATGGTGGTCCATTTAACCATTTTAAACAAACTGAAATAAATTTAAAAATGAAAAATACTATTCCAACTGAAAAGCTGAGAAGTTTAAGAATGTCAAAATGAAATGCTTTCAACTGCAGTCATTGTCAATGCCATATTATTAGCTGTATGATAAAGCTTGCATTTTACCTTTATGTTGTTTGTCAGCATATAAGTAATAAAGCATTTCAGCACATGCTATTCATTCTGGTGCCTCACAGGTTAGCCATTAATGTGTGATTCACTGTCTCAGTGAGTAACACACCTGTAGAAAATTATCTGTTTTCCACCAAATCCAGCTATGCCAGTATAAAAGGTTACTCCACTCTCCTCCTCACCCTGTCTCCCCAGTGGCTGATCCCATCCCTACCTACCGTTAGTGGAACGGTGCGCATCAGGTTATCTTGAACACTGGTGTCAGCTCTGCCCCTAAACAGGCGATATGACTTTAACCCTATGGCTCTTCCTTGAAGTGAATTAGGAGTGTTCACCCCTAATAAAGTTCACATAAAGCCCTCTGCCAGCAAGGCAGTGGGAACAGTACTTTCTGGCAGAAGGGCAGAAACTATCAGCTGGTAAGATGGTGCTTCCCAACAACACAGCTGGATCTGGGAAAGAAACAGCTGTCAGGACAAATTTATCCCTGGTATGCAGTAATATTGAAGAATGTAAAAAGAGCTGACTTGACTTAGGTTAATCTTTTAAGTTAAGCTCCTTAACACGTTGCCAAAGTGGATGAGCAAAGTAGACAAGAAGTCCAGATTTTTGGTTGAATTACAAGAGTTTTATTGGATTTATGCCAACTTTGGATAGGCAACCTACATGCCATGCGCTAAGGCCTCACATCAGCACTACATCGCTTCTGCACTAAGGAAATTTGTCCCCAAATACTCACTGGCCTTCTCAAATGTCCTAGACTGAGGAAAGCAGATTATCAGATTACTAGGTCACAGAAAGTCCACCTGGGAAGTAAAAAAAGAAAAATACACACATACACTCACACCTCTAATATGTGCGTGTTTTAATTTTAGCTTACAGTAATTTATATAACCTGGTTTAATCAGGATTCCAAACATTCGATTTTAAATTCCACCTTTTACAACCACTCTCTCCTACCACATTGGAGTTGCTTTAGGAGTGGACCATGACAGCTGCTTGCAATCAGAGACAGCGTACACCCTATTTTGTGGTTGTTTTGTTTTAAGAGTGGAAATGAAAACCAATTTCTCAGCTGAAAACACCAATAAAATTTAAGTAGATAGAATGTAAATACCAGAGTCAGAGCTTGGAGACAAGTGGAGAGATAATAAACACACTCTTGTTGTTGGAATAACTATACTTGGAGCTCAGTGATGACTTGGCCAGACCTGCTGAGCACACCACCACAAGAGGCAGAGGAACATGGGGCTGCCTCAGTGCAGAGATGATGACAGATCACAACGGACAGCCTGTGACGAGCCTTGCCTGGAGGGGAGGGTTCACCACTGCCCACAGCAGGCAGCTGCAGCTCTGCACACGCTCACCTGGCACAGTCGGGGCACCCCTAAGGGACTGCCCCCACACTCTGCCACCCTGTCCTATGGGACCCGGTGGAATCTGCTTCCCACTGATAACACTCCTTACAATGGTAGCCTGAAGAAGCCAGGAACTTGCATTCATTTTCTTCTTTGTCAGTTCCATTATAACCCAGCCTTCAGTGAGTAACAATTACTTCTTTTCCAATTGTAAATTATTATCTACAGAAGCAGAACCCCTTTTTGCCTTCCTTCTGGTCAGAAAGGTTCCAGGCTTTTGTATTTGGATCTGTCACTAAATTCCCTTGTTTTAAAGTATCCCAATCACGTGCCAACCAGTCCTGACCTTGGTTTATCTGGGGAAGTGACAAAAAATCTACAGCAAGTAATGCTCACCCTCCTCATGGCAACAGGGGGGAAACAGCAGAAACCACTACAGATGCACCCCTTACACATATCTGGGCTGCTTAAGCTACAATCATTGCCCCTTTTTCTCCAAACTCTTGCCTCTGTCATTTCACGAGGGGAGCTTACTTTTGAACATGGATTAAATCAAGGCCTATTTTAAAATGCAGTTAGTAGCTGCATAGCTATTTAATGCCACGCAAAGACTCACTTCTTCTAGAGGAGATTTACTATGTCCCAGACCAAAGATGTCTTCTCATGAACAAAACAGGAAGAATTAAGCGGGAACAGCTCTATGTGCAGACAACTCCTAAAAATTTTATTTTAGCATAGTAGCAAGTTGATGTACTTACCATATACGAAACGCCAATCTAGTACAGGCCAAATTACTTCCCATATGCCCATAAACCTAGAAGGCAACTCAGAAAGCTCTACATTGTTTTTGACTTGATCTATTTTACCCTCTCCCTTGTGCCTCTAACATATCAGATCATGTAGATCACCATTGTTGAAAAGTTCTGGATATATATTTTGGTGGAAAGTCTCCCAAAAGCAGGAATCTCACATTTATGGGCCTCTCAGAGCCCTCCCACAAGCTGACTGCAGCATGACACACAATTTTTGGTAAGCATCCTGGCGGCTAATGAAGCACTAGATCTTTCAGACAGTATAATTAGCTCACCTGTTGTGACAGTCTATGTAACTGGCCAACATACCCCCCACAAACCAAATTGTCTAATACAGTTTATTTAGATCTAAGGTGGCTAAGAAACTTAACTCCAACTTTCTGTTTTCAGAATAAATCAGAGGCACTTGGGTTAAGTATTAAAGTGAATGCTGCCAGCATCTCCTTTTCTTTACTTCTTAGATGTTTTCAAAACATAACTGTGGCACGTTATTTCCCTGAAAGCCTGCTGAAAATACACACAGTAAAATCAATTTAGTGTAACCATGTAAGTTTTACAAGTATTTCTCCTATCATGGATTTTACTCAGTACTACCAGTGTTTAAAAAGGTATGGACCCAAAGCAATGAAAAATCAACCAAGTCTGCCAAAGGATTTAGTGATGCTGCATTCAGCAAACAGATACTCTGTTTTAATGGAGGGGATTTAGCAGGTGCGTGTTACTGATCATTATTCAATTTTTATCTCACAGGCAAAACAGATTATGATACACTGTAAGCACATACAATAAGAAAAGTAAAAAATGTGTGTTTTTAAAATCCCTTGAATCTCTGGATCTAAGCTAGTAGCATTCTATCAATACTCTGGATTAAGTTTCTCAGAGCAGTTTACAGCAGATAGATCGAGTACCAGGCCTTGGTGGAACCACAGAACTTGCATTGTGAACTGCAATCTTAAGCTCTTAGGAAAGATGACGTGTAAGGACGCACCATTGTTTTCTTAAGACTGTTCCATGCCAACGGGAAACCAAAAAGAACCTGGGTACACCGGAATCCCCTTAACTGTAGAGAATTTTCCTTCCTGCTTTTGTCTTTTCAAATAATATGAACCACACAATACAATTAGGTTATCACTGAATAAAATTTTGGAGGGCTGAGCTCCACCCATCAGGAAAATGAAAGTAATTGCACTTCCCTTCAGTATCCCTATGCATTACAAATCCACTGCATAATCGTCACATAGTCTGCTGTACAAGCTCTACACAGAGACACTAAACAGCTGAGGGAATGCTGTGTCCTGTATTTAATGGTCTCAGTGTCTACTTTTGATAAATCACCATGAAAGCAGAGGCTGATAAAGTCACTATTTCCTTTCACCATGGCACACAGACATGTTACAGAATGCTCCAAATGGATGTTTGCTGTCCTTTTGTAGAGTGTGACAGCAGACATTAAAAGAGGTATTTCAGTCAGCCAGGCAGGCTGACTTACTCAGGAAAAACAATCAAGTACTGCTGAGGAGCACTCCTGTCGTTCTTTTTTTTTTTAACTCCCACACACTGTTTAACTGTGAAATACCTTGGCTATTTCTGTGTTTTCCGCAACCATGAAAGTGAAGCTGATGTTCACCAGATCTGTGCCACTGCAAACACACACTATCCGTCCTTCCAACTCATTTTCTGATTTTCCAACAGCCTCAAGTGCAGTTAGTATTTTGGGATCCTGTTAAACAGAATAAATAACTTGTCACATTTGCAATACTTTTGTTATGCAATGTACTATGGTAAAGATGCATTTCCATCTCCATATACACTAACACCTTTAAACCTTTGCCAATCATCTTAAATGAGTGCTTTCATTTAGAATTACTGTATGTAAACCTGAAAAACAATATATTCTAACAATTAGGAGCATGATTGTGAGAACTCAGAAGTAAATGAAGTATTTTAAATATATTTTAGAAAGTTAAATTAGAAATCACATATATTTTCATCACGAAAGAGAAAGATTAGTCACTCCAAGGACGGGAAATAGAGGAACGGTATTAATCTCTAAGTAAATTATTCCAATCTAGTGAAGTCCATAGTTACTGAGAGTTATGATCTGTGTGACTTTTTGGCTGTTTCTTAACGACACATCATACAAGCTGGTATCTCTCCTGAGGGTCAAGGGCTATAGATTTAGTGGGCATAAAGAGCAAATTACCTATGTAAAGACAGAGATGAAGTCTGAAGCATATTGGTATGGTTGCCAGCACATGAAGCATGGGGTTGTCTGCATCACTACTTCCCATGCCCGTTCTCTATTCGGGAAATATTTTAGTCTATGGATTCCCAAGAGAACTACTAAAAGATAGTTATCTACAGTTAACACGGAAACACTTAACACGTGAAAGTGGAAGTGCAGAGGTGTTAAGAGATATCTTGCTTCACCACAAATCTTCTAAACTAAAGGCCTGGAGGAGGGAGGCCCACAATTCACTTCAGAAAATTCTACATATTCCTTCCGAAGAATACCACTGAAAATATTTCCAAGGTTTTGGGTTTCTCCAGAACTCCTAGCTAGTACTTGTGTTGATATTCTTCAAAATGGCAGACAGTAACCAGACGCCCTCTCTGACCATCTAACTGCATAAAGAGGGATGCAAACGAAACTTTCTATGTTTTATGTCAATGGAGCAAGAAAATACAGCAAATTTTAAACAGATAGGAACAAAATTTGGAATATGAAACATTTTCTCCAGATCCCTAAAACAAGTATCACAATATACTGTTACAAAATAATTAAAAACTCCTGATATGTGCTCTTAATGTCTGTTGTTCAGCTTTCACCACATCCTGAAAGCTACACTGTACTACATCAGAAAGACCAGACGACAGAGGCTTCCCACTGCAATCACCAAATTACTTGACTTTAAAATTTAACATTTTAGACTGTGATTGCAAAATAAAAGCTGTGTTGCTAGTATTTTTTAAAGAAATGAACTTCATCCTGCATTTCACCTTCCGTTTAAATATTCTGTGTTTAAATGAAGAGTATAAACTAACTATAGAGTACCTTTGGTACAGCTCCAAAACGAACACTGTTGATCAGGGAGCATTCTAATACCTGTCCTTCCTGAAATGGCAAAAAAAATTACAAGTTCAAAGGTCTGTTGACACATGGCTCCGTTAGGTATTGCAGCACTAATAAACAATGAATCTTATTTGCAAACACTGTTAATTAACACTAAACAGTATATTTCCCTTCTGTATCAGTTAATTCCCTCTTAAATACTCCACTTCTGTCAATTCTAAAAGAATAGGACTAAGGCTAGTTTTGTAAATAAACTAACACAGTATTTTAGATTTTTAAAAACTAGCCAGAATATAAACCAAGTGCAATAATATCTAATACATATTCCTGACATAATTGAATATACCTTTCCTTCACTTTTCCAGCTCAGGAAAAAGCCAAATTCATCCACTTGGAAGAGACAGTTGCTTTCAAAGACAAAAGATTCCTATAGAAAAGAAAATACAGACCTTTATTTTAGTCAGTTTGACAAACGTCATGAATTTACTTATTGTTCAAAAATAAGAGATTCTTACATTTCTCCCCAAATACCTTCCTTGAGAACTTGCTATTCCCAAAGCAATCAGCAATGAGGGAGGCAGGCTTTTAAAAAAAGATCATTTTTAATGATTTGTCTTTTTGCTGCCATTTGAGACATTGGGATGAACTTAATTAATATTTTCCTACTTCTTTGCAACTATGAAGATTTGTTTTGTTTAATAAAAGCAGTTATTCTTACCTAATCAAAAACCTTAATGAAATGGAACTTCAGAAAAATTACTGAAAATTAAATGCTTCAAATTACGTAAAGGTTAAAAACATGTAATCTGCCAATACTACCTTCAGGATCAAATGACCACATTTCATTTGAACATTCAGAATTTGGGAAGCACTTTTCTGTTAGACTATGACAGTATGCATGTCGCAAGCATTCTGTAGCCAGAGTATCTGGCAAGCAGAGTTTGAAGGATATTGATTTGTAGAGAAATCAAGAAAGAACGGCATACCAAAGAGACTAGACAAGGCAAAAAATCAGATTAGCTGAATTAAAAAAGAAATTTCCTCCACACACCTCTAGCCTCAATTAACGCATCATAAATTAAGCTAAAATACAGGATAACACTGTGCAGAATCAATCATTTTTTAAACAAAAAAAAAGGATCCAGGACTTCCTGACTTCCTTAATTGAAAACTGACAAGCATGTGTGCAGGCTACAGCACTGCTTACTGTTTCAGAGATCAGTGCTTTGCTCTATGTTAAAGGCTGAGGTACCTTTCTGAAATGCCATGTCCTCTCCTGTGCACATAGCAAGGGCAGCAAGCACATGAATTTACACAGCTGTTTTCAGAGCAAAAGGTCCTGCATACAGGACAATTTGAGTTTATGTAACAAAAATAGGTAAAAACTCCAGCGCCCTCAATCCATGGGGCATTCTTTTAAGTCAGTAAGTCTACCCAGGACAGTTTGCTCTCACTGGGTTACTCTGAGGCAGGTCCCCAGCCTGACCCCGGATGCAGGACATCAAGGGGCAGCCACAGGTGCCTTTTTGGCCTCTGCCATGGAACAAGGGCATTGGGTGGGCTAAGGAATGGTCACATTCCAGTCAGGTCTTATCCTGACTTAACGCTGGGCATGAAGTCAAGCAAGTTCCTTGGATCCATGGTTGGGCGGTGTCTTTGAGCCCTCCTAGATGGGCACAGCCAAAGGGGATACATTGTGTTTGGGATAATTGCTCCTTTTCCCTGGACACATTAATTATTGAATGGTGTCTACCACTTCTGGACAACATTTTAGGTCCTCAAAGGAGACTGACAGGTTTTAAGGACTGACACACTGCAGTTTTCCATCCAAGCAGCAACTATTTAATTCTACAGGCAGGGGAGCTGAGAGACAAAGTATAAAATCGCTGCAACTTAGTCTGAGCCAACACCACTATGCACAAGTTTCCAGCACGCACTGCTCTGCCCGTCTTTCTCCACCATAACTTCTATTTTCCCTCCTTCGCCCTAGCACTTATCCCTTATGAAACCTACTTGTCGCCAGACACCTCAGTTTTACTAGTTTTACAGTCCTTGGAGCCCTGTTTCATATAAAAAGGCAGCTAGCTACCAATCAAAATAGTGTCTCTTGCGTTTCCCAGAAAGATTACTCACACAGTAAAAGGCAGGCAGTTTTTTGTCATTTATTGTGTCCCCGTCTATCAAAAAGATCTTGATATACCAAAGATGATGTTTTCACAAAGGTGTCTATGTAAACCGCACTCATGTTGATGTTCCACCCTAGCCTTGACTCTTCATCAAATTACTTTTTCTGCAATTTGTCTTCTTGTATGGTAAAAAAAGTACCTGCCATCAGACCATGTAGATGCAACATGACCAGTAAGATTGCTAATCATGTCTGATTTTTATTTCTCATATTCTGCTGAGTTAACCCTGTTCTAGGCTCAAGCTTTTCCATAATTTTGTAATCCTTCTGGTTAAGGGACTCATCTATCAGCAAAAGATGGATCAAGACACTGCTCCATGTGACAATGACCCAGATTTTTCTAGCCACTCAATGAAACTTGGGCACATAAAAGACGTCTCATGCTGTACTAGAGCTGTTCAGTCACCCAGACACTGTACCAGGATTCCTAAACCCCAGTTCTGCACTGACCTGCTGTATGACCTTAGTTCACTTACCATTTCTCTTTTCCCCAACATGACCTTTCTGTTAGGGTGGGGAATTAAGCACAGAATTTCCACGAAAATTAGAAGCCTAGGTCTGAAACATTTTTCTTGAAAATTGCAAGCCCTATAGTATAGGGATTGGATCTTGCTACTTTTGCATAGCATTCCTAAAACAATGGTCTTTCTCTTGGGTAGGCTATCTAGTTACTGCCACAACACAATTAAATAATAGCCTCTGTATATAATAAATCTGATAATATCAAACAGCCACACCATCAAGTGCTCACTGTTTACAGGCTACAGATTTTAACTTTTGAGACACTGGGGTCTTTTTACAGCCCTTGATGATTCCTGTAGAATTGCAGATAAAATATACAGTTAGTTACCTAAGTGAAAGCCTTTTAACGTTTCTGGAGCAGTATTTGCTGAAGAAAAATAAAGCTTTTGTGAACTTCCCTTCTAAGGAATTCAATGTCCACTAGTATCATCTTAGTTTATCTGTCCCCAAAAGTGAAAATACAGGGTAAAACAACTATTCCTGTCTTGGCAGTCCTCATGATAAAAAATATCTTTTACTTACGTTTCAAAAGATAAGAGGAAAGTACTAATATCCCTGAAGGCACTTACTGAGATACCTCCAACTTTTAGAGATTTCCTGTCCAAACAAGATTAAAAATAGACCCTGATAAAATTATTCTCACAGGCATATCAATGCTGAGTATAAGGTAAATGTCTCAGCACTTTATTTCGGCTGTGTAAAATGTCCTGTTTTGCATTCCTTTAATAGATTTGGATTAAAACACAGCTGAAAGCGGGATCATAGTAATCATATTTCAGACAGAGTACAGGCTGATTTTCTAAAGGAGATAAAACCATTCCAGATCTCAAATTATGCATTTGAATCAGAATACAAATGTTTTGTGTCCTCTTACTTTCCCTTGTGAGATGCAGATGCTCAGTTTATATATTAATAAAGACATATTCCTCTCCCCCCATTTGATAGATGTACAAAAAATGGAAGTATTCACTTTGTTCAGTAATGTGTTTTATGAATCTGCAAAGATGAGAGCTTTATGCACATTAGAGATATTTTGATCCAAATCTCCCTTTCTCTTGCTTAAGCTTATTTCAAATCAGAGGGATTAAATATACTTTAAAGTTATTTCTTTTAAAAGCAAAAATCTGTATAGCAATGAAGTGTGTTGATATTTCCTTCCCACACACATTTCTGGAGTTATTTGAAAGTTTATTTGTGTACAATGAAAGCAAAACATGAAATATTCTGTAACATCTACATATTTATAAAAGAATAGCAAATTAAATGCAACTGGCCTCTTACCTCTTCATATCTATCAAACACAGCTCCATCTTGCATAAAAGAGGGAACTGGCTTCTGCCAGTTAAATTCATAAGGTTTTGCCATGATTATAGAAGAAAAACCTGAAATGGAATGAAAAAGCAGAGTTCAATTACTGTCTTTAAAAGGAGTATTTCAAAGTTTAAGCATGAAAAAAGTGACTTTTAGCTTTTCCTTTCACACAGAAGTATTAAAAAGCCACAGTGGATTTCCATATCAAGAGTTTTCCTCATAAGAGTATTTTTGTTTCGTAACTTTAAAATGAAAAATACTTGTAAAATGTGTGTCTGAACTTAATTATTTAAAAAAACACTTGCACTGTAACTTTGCTTTAGTTTAAATATCTGCTACATCACTTCTAGAGCATAACGAGGCTGCGATTAACACAGCCCTAGGTGACACAGAATACCACAACCTGTAATATATGAGTGCTTTTTTTTTTTTGTACAGAAAAACATCAGATCCTACATAGATTTTTTTTTTTTTTTTAAAAAACATTCTAAATTGTATATTACATTGGCAAAACACATTTTTCCTCTGTGTTTTATATTTCAAAATCCATTTATAGTAAATAAAGTCCTGGGTATTTTCAGTGGTATTTTATACATAACTCAAGATATGGATAATATATAGGTCAAAATTCATAGGGGGGGAAAAAAAAAAACTTAGGGATATAGGGCATTAAATAAAATCAGTCAGTAGCATTGTGCATTTCTGCAAGTTTAGGAATGTGAATAAAAATGTTAATTTAGAATATACTACAGAAGTCATAACATATGGACCTTACAATAAAGACTACGGAATTATTCTGTATCCTTTCCAATGCCTTGGTGCCTTCTAGGTTATGCTGCTTTACACCAGAAAATGTCCCAACTACGTACTCTGAAATACTGAAGTTCATTTTATCTGAAGTGCATCTGCATTGTTCCTGCTTACTAATGCCATCTAGGACACACAGTATCTTGGTTATTACTTTATACACTGGACGAGAAAGTCTTGCATGAGAGGGAATACACTTGGCAGGAGCAAGATAAGACTGACTCTCAGATCTCAGCAAATCATTCTGTGAAACGGTGTATTGAGGATGAATACAGCACACAGTCACAATAATCCGACCCCACACGCTACTGCCTGTCTCACAGGCGAACACCACCTCACCCTGTTCTTGCCCTAGCCCTCCTCTGACAATGTTCATCTACTACTGACCACCTCTAGCAGCACCATACAGCGCTCAGCGGAACCAGTACAGTTCTTACTTTGTAACAATGCAGGCGCCCAGCCCAAGCAAAGCTTGTCTAAGTGCGAAGAATAAAAAGCATACATAAAATTCAAGGAAGAGCACGACAATCACTGTAATCTACGCTGTGCAAACCATCTTTGTAGTGTTTTTGTATGACAAAACTCTGAATAGCAGACTAAAATATTACCAATTAGGTAACAATGCTTCCACAATGTTCTTAGACAGAAATGTCTACTTTGACTGAACTTCTAACCCAGAATAAATGCAAGTGTTTAAAAAAAAAAAAAAAAAAAAGAATTTTGTAGTATCCTCCTTCTCTGTCTTGTTTTCATTCGTATCAAAAACATTCTAACAAGAAAAAGAACACGAACAGAAGAACTCAGAGGACACTGTTAAAAGACTCTGTCGAACACTGGCTTTAAGAACAGTTACTTTTGATAGTTTTTGACCAAAAAAATATTCTTACTACTAAAAAAAATGCAAAATACATTTTGATGCTGGCCATCTCTATCTCCTGACGTTTTCTGGTCATTGATACAGGAATATCAAAAATACATATCACATTTCCAAAGCCTTAGGAATAAGATAAATGAATTCATTCTCCATAACTATGAAAAATACAATTTGACAGTTATATATATATAGATATATCTACGTCACCATTAAGTGTTTACTTTTGTTGAAAATGGAATGAGAACTCAAAATAACATATCTGTACTCTCCAATTAAAAAAAAAGAGGCTAAACAGTATTTAAGACTACTCATATTTACTTTTCCCCCCCCGATGAAGAGATGCTTTGAAGAAAACAGAGGACAAGGAACTAGGGCCAAGGAATCTGCTATACTAAGATTTAGTATCTTATCAAAAGCCTCCTTTTCTTTTCGCCAGCCCTGTACATTTGGCTCTTACACTCTGTAAAAGAGTAATAATACCTTCCTCATGAGGACCATGAGATGTTTTGAGATCCTTTCAGGGAATGTGCCAAATTACTGAATTTTTATTATTTTTTAAAAATACATTTATAATTTTAGGTCTCTTCCAGTTTAGATCAGCATAGAGCTGCTTTTTCCTCATTCCATGGAGGAAGCTGCGTAATAGGACAGCCGTCCCACTGCAGTAGCACGATGGCGTCTTGTTCTATACAGCTCTCAGACTTCACACAGTAGCTCAGTATAATCACAACACCCTGAAAACTTAGTGCTTGTTCTTACAGCAAAGCTACATTTAGAGAAATGCAGCTTCAGAAAGCTGCTTTCTGACTTCACAGGCTTTGTTAACAGCAAAGTTGAAATCAGAACCAATAAAACCCCATACTATATAACAAATCCTCAAAGGTCTTGGAAAAATATCCCTTAGATTTAAAGGAAACTTAAAACATACACACCTGAAGTGATAAACACTATGGCATATTGACCATTCCCTTATCTGTTTAAATTACTTTTACTATTAGAATGTCCCCAAGAAGAAAAGTTACTTCAAATACGACAGGTAGTTCATGCAGAAATATATGCTGCTAGCATGTGAAGTCCTTCTGGGAAAAGCAGATGCATTCTGTGCTAAATCATAAGAAACATGATGACACTTTTAAGACTGTGAAGAACGCAAAACATACATGGCCTTCACCCTTTCTTACTGACCTTAAACCCCACACAGACACACATTTTAAAACCTACAAGCTCTGCAACTACTCTGAACTCCTGTATAAGACACATCATAACATTCCGTCCGGCACTCTGAATCCTGGATGTAAAGAATGCTTGAACAGACACTTATCTTTCAGAAAGACTAATTACCTTGGCACTACAAACATGTACTTTATTACCAATTTGAACTTTGCCGAGTTCATCATCCAGTCACAGAAATATAGCTCTCCTCTTCTCCTTGTCTGGGTACTCACACAGTATGATGAAGTTGTCTCGTTACTTCATCGCTGATAAATAGATTGAGCTCTTCAGTTTCTGCTGCAATGCACATTTTTCAAATCTTGGAGTCAGCCTGAGCCCTCTCCACTTTCCCAGCTGCCCTTCTGAAGTCAGGGGTCTGGACCAGGACACAGTAGCCCAGCACAGCCCTCTTGTCATACAAACCAGAATTATGGTCTTTCTTCTTATTTGCATAACTTTGCATTTAGCTGCAAGAAAACACACTTGATTGCTCATAATTTATCAAGCAATCAAGATCTGTCTCAGGGACTCAAGCTCATTGTTATTTACCATCTTACCAATCTCTTCTCTAGCTCTGCTCTCTCACAGGTCAATACAGTTTACAGATGAACTGAGACAGATGAAGTGTGAGGGAAAGATGGCTTGAGTACGTGTAGCAAGGAGTCAGATGAATTGTAACAAACAAGATTTTTAAGCCATATACTTTGGCAGCTGTGCAGAAGGTGAAGAAAATTCTCTCTGCCTTTAGAAAAGCTCTTTTCAGCCTCTCACATTTCTTACACTCCTCTCGAAAATCCATTCTTCTGCAACCCTGTTAGCTTTTAAGATCACCAAAATAAAATACAAAATATTCCCCTGTCACTCTTTGGAGCTGTGTTAATCTTTAGAAATTTTTAAGCAGTTCAAACAAAGTAAAAAACAAAAACAACCCCACCCACCCACCAAACCTGAACAAACATGACATTCTAACATTCATATGGTTGCAAATATATGCATGCGTATACCCTATGATGAGAATCAAGAATTACTTTCTTTAAAGGAATTTAATAACAATTAAATGTGTGAAGATTCAACTGGGAGAGAGAGAAGATTTAGGAACTAAATTTAAAGACAGTAAAATTTTAATTTTAAAACTTTTAAACAGCCTTTGAAAATTAAAATCAAAATCTTCTCACTGATTTAGGGTTCTTAAAGTATAAAAATGCCTCTGAATACATACCGTTCACAAAAGCAGAAAGAACACTCATATAAAATACACCTCAGGACTTAATCAATGACCACATGGGAGAAGTAGGTAAAGTCTCTCAAGTGCAGCAGTCAAATGCCTTTTGAGCTATCTCCCTTTCTTTCAACACTGATTTATGCCTGAAGACATGATTTGGATCACATGAAAAAAAAAAAAAGCACCTTTGATTCACCTGGAGTACCCAAAGAGTGAGGACACAAAATTATGCACATCCAGAATAGCATTATTTAACACAGAAGTCTTCCTCTTTTGTAAGCTGTACTTGGCTGTACTAAGCTAAATCTGGGGTGTGGGGGGTGGAAGGACTATAAATCCTGGTTTTGACCAAAAGAAGGACAAGGTGTGGCTGAACAGGAGGAGGAAAGGATTCTGTTAATACAAAGTAGACAAATGTTTGGGGAAAGAGGTGATATTCTAAACTAACCCACAGAGCTGGCTGGCGTGATGGATAGGATACTCCTTGGATCCCATAAACATCCTGTCAATGTTGAGACACTGTTGGAAAGGACAGCAGTATTCCTTACAGCTGATCCTCCCCGGTCTAAAACACAGTAACTCACAATTTCCGCAGTTTGCTTAGCCCCGAATATTATAACAATACTTTAAAATTTTTTTTAGTAATTATTATTTTTGCCTCTGGAATGAATCACTATTTGCTGAGTGAAAAGCGAGGAGGCTCCACACACTCTGTGTTTGCCATTTCACCACTTACCTCTTCGAATCACATCACCTAAACCTGCACCACTTACTGTCTGTGGGTTTCAAGGGCAAAGTATAAGCACCCACAGAACACTACGCTGAGTTTAGCAATCTTGCCCAGGCATATATATTTTTCTTACAGATAGAAGGAAGCAATTTTTTAAAAAATAAAACTAATGTATTTCCCATTCTTTCCCCCCTTGAAGTACATATATCCTTCACCACCA